ACCTCCCGCTGACATAGGAGGTCTCCCAGCCTTAGGTTCTGTCATCCTGAAGCCAGACCTGCCCAATGCCATTCCTCGATGTGTTTAGATGACACCCTTCCTCCTTCATCCAGAACAGATCCTTAAAAATCAGCACACCTGAGCTACGGTGAGGCAGCTCGGAACCCAAGTACGATTCCTTTCAGACCTCAGTCCTCAGTAAGGTGCACAGCGTCTTGTTGCAATCTGCTCCTGTAGAATGAATCCACTTTGACAAGGAGGACATGGGAACAGCCAACTCCCATCTAAGGGGCTGTGGTGTAATAATGCATACCTGAGTTCACTTACTCCTCCCTTTGACATGACATAGGCACTTTTCTGACTTCTCCATTTTACAGATGAGGACACTGAGGTACGGAGAGACTTAAGTAATTTTGGAATATGCAACAAAGATTAGTGGAAGCAAACATATTAAAGAAAAAGATAAACCAAAAAACAACAAAACAAAAAATAGTGGATGTTTCCAATAACAAATGATACATTATTTAGAACACACCCCTCTGGATTAGCTGATGTCTAGGCTTTCATTTCCTTTGAGCTATTTTGCAGCTCTGTAACTTGTGGAGACCCAATGGCAATGCAGAGAATTCTTGTCACCAGAGGGTTGTACAAATGCTTCTGCTCAGTGAAGGACTGTGCAAAATCCAATTTTGCTTCCATTTACAAATGCACTCTAGAATTCCTGATGTTTACTGGATTCTCCTTTGAATGGATTGTAACATAATTTGTTTTCATTATTAATAATAGGTTAAACCAAAAAAAATTTTTTTTTGAGACAGCATCTCGCTGCTGCTCTGGCTGGAGTGCAGGGGCACAATCATGCTTTCTTGCAACCTTGACTTGCCAGGCTTGAGTGACTACCCCAGCTAGGAACCCCAGCCAGGAACTAGTGACTGTGTTTTAAACCATTATACTTTCCAGGCACTGCAAAGTGTAATTGCATGAGAGTAACTGCAGCTGTAAATTAACCCTAACCTTAAAAAGATCCTTGTCCCTAATTCAAAACCAACTCTGATTAAAACCTAATAAATTAAAGTGTGCTCTGTCTGAGGAAAAAACACATTACCCCTGTATTTTGGGAAAGATGATCTCAGGTTGTAAAAACAAGCATATTTATTCAGGTCCCTTCAGTCCACTTGGAGATCCCTAAGGAGCAGGGGCTATTTGTCTCTGCCCGTCTTCCTGTATTATCCCCATGCATGGGGAAGTGGCCAAGGCTGGTACAGTGTTTTGTGCCCAGGGCCTTCCTTTTGATCTTGGTGCTGCCTTTGATAAAGCCCCCATGATGTAGGAAGGGATTTGGGAACCATTTTCATGTCATGGTTCTCCTAGAACTGTGAAAGGGAGAGGAAAAACTGAGGGACAGGGAGCAGGAAGGTGTGTGGCCTACATGACTTAGAGATAGTGACCCAGCTCCATGCCTCACTTACATACTGCTCTGTTCTAAGGCCAAAAACCATTAACCTCTATTATGCATTTAAATTACGATTTGATTAATGATATGTTACCCTAACCACACATAATTGCAAGTTAGGATTTTGGGTGCTGGAAGACATCAAAATTTAACCCCGTTATATTGATATAAACTCTCAATTTCATTGTACCCTGAGCTACCTTTATTCCTGACTGATCACATACAATACCATTTTTCTCACTGAGGAATTTATTTTCAGATACAGTCTTATAAGTCAATGAACTTTATCATTGCTTTTATTCATTGTTTTAACTTTTAATCTCAAAATTTTAGATTTAGCAACATTATTTTACTTCATAGTACTTCCTTTTATGGTCCCTTGTATTTATAGCAAATGATACTGGTTTTCCACTTATAATGATAATATTAAATACACTTCAGTATAAAATGAGTCAAAGAAAAATATTAACTAATAGTACAGGTGGCATTAAGATAATGGCAGAAATTAGGATGGTGATGTTGAAATGATGGAAAGTGTGTGGTCTATAAATAATAATGCTATTTGATACTATACTGTTCATTGGGCATTTATTATGTGCTAGGCCCAAAGTTATCAATGTGATGATGGAAATGCTCTACATCTGCACTATCCAAGCCACATGTTGCTACTGAATCCTTGAAATGTGGCTAGTGTGACCGATGACTTAAAATTTAAAAATTAATTTAAACATCTATATTTACCATATTAGAGCAAGCCTAAGGGTCTTACATACAGTATTTTAGAAAGTCTTCATAACGTCAGTGAAGTAAGCATTACTATTGTTATTTTGCTAGTGAAGAGACTTAGGCCTTGAGAGGTTGCCTGAGGCCACATAACTAATAAGTAGCAGAGGCAGGATCTGAACTCAGATCACTTTGACTTCTGAATAGGTGTTGTTAGTCATTTCCCACAGAAAAACAAAGCCTAAAGAATACTGTCAGTGGTTGAATTGTACTGGCTCAAGTGTGACGCTAAAGTGTCAGACTTGAGTATTTGTTATTAGACCGCTTTATTCTGCTTCGGATAGCCTTAAGACTTCACCCAGGGTGGCCAGCATGACTGCTGACTCTTAAGTGGAAGTGAGCTGTGAATGAGTCCATGGCAAACAGTGAGATATGTCCACACTAAGGGCTAATCCTGATGAAGCCCCAAATGAATCATGGCCTCGACGCTCTGTGCTCCTCAAGGGCAGGGCCATTTCCTTCATCCTGGTGCCCCCTGCCCCCCATGGCTCCAAAGAACATCGCTCAATGTTCAGTGAATGACAGTAGCGCAGAGCACAATGGTCATCATCTCCAACCCTTAGGTCACACAAACAATATAACTGGTTTCATTTAAATTTATGACCATAAATATCAAGGGAGCCCTCATATTCCGTAGCAATTCAACAACAGATTATTAAATAGGTTCACTCTCTGATTTCACATTTTCTTCAAAGTATCTAGCACCCTTTGCCCCTCTCCTGCCCTAGGCTGATGACCTTGTGCAGCCAACCTGTGTTGGCTTTTGTTTCTCTAGGATTTGAACCTGTTTGCAATCCCCTGTTGTGTGGGTTTTGGTGAGAGGCAATAAATAGGTAATTAAATGAAAGGATCAGAGGGTCACTCTTTCACCTGCCGTCAGCACCTAGCATGGGTCAATCTGACGCTCTCAACCAGGACTTTGACTTCTGAGGCAGTGATACCAAGGCCCAGGGCTCTTGTGCAGGTTTCCAGTACTTTGAATGTGAGGACATTTTTGCTATCTGTGTTGGCAGATATCATGAAAATTATGCATGGACCTTTAAAAATTTTTTTTAAAAATCTCATCAGCTATCATTAGTGTTAGTGTATTTTACATGTGGCCCAGGACAATTCTTCTTTCATTGTGGCCCAGGGAAGCCAAAAGGTTGGACACCCATACTGGAGGTTATTCATATGGTGCCATCACAGAGTGGTCTTATGTTAGCAGCCTTATAGGAGGGGTTTTCACCAGACTCTTCTAATCTTTGCTAATCCTGAGGTGTAGGAAGATGACTTCCCAATTTTTAATTATAGCTTTTACCTCTGTATTGAGCTCCAAACTTGCACATTCAGCTATCCACTTAGTGGTTCCACTTGGATGTGTAATGGCATCTCAGATATGACATGACCAAATCAAAACTTTTTACTTCCCACATCTTTGCTATTTATTAAATAATGATACCACCATCTCCTGAATCATTCCGGATTCCTTTCTTTTTGAGGCAGGGTCTCACTGTCACCCGGGCTAGAGTGCAGTGGTGTCATCTCGGCTCACTGCACCCTGCACCTCTCAGGCTCAAGCTATCCTCCAGCCTCAGCCTCACAAGTAGTTGGAACTACAGGCATGAGCCACTGCGCCCAGCTGTTCTTTTTCTTCCTTTTAATTTTCACATCTACTCCTGCATGAGTCCTGTTGGCTACCTTCAAAGTTTAATCTGATTAAAGTCACATTAGCATCTGGACTTCTACAAAAATTTCTGTGGCAGGCTGGATGATGTCCCAGAGAGGTCTATGTCCTAGTACATAGAATGTGTGAATACAGGCCGGGCGCGGTGGCTCAAGCCTGTAATCCCAGCACTTTGGGAGGCCGAGGCGGGTGGATCACGAGGTCAAGAGATCGAGACCATCCTGGTCAACTTGGTGAAACCCCGTCTCTACTAAAAATACAAAAAATTAGCTAGACATGGTGGCGCGTGCCTGTAATCCCAGCTACTCAGGAGGCTGAGGCAGGAGAATTGCCTGAACCCAGGAGGCGGAGGTTGCGGTGAGCCGAGATCGCGCCATTGCACTCCAGCCTGGGTAACAAGAGCGAAACTCCGTCTCAAAAAAAAAAAAAAAAAAAAAAAAAAAGGTGTGAATACATTACTTAACATGTTTAACGGACTTTGCAAATGTGAATACATTAAGGACCTTCACATGGAGAGGTTATCCTGATAATTTAAGTGAGCCCAATGTAACAAGGGTTCTCCTAAGAGGGAGGTAAGAGCATCAGACTCAGTAGTAAGAGATCTGACAGTGGAGGCAAAAGGTTTTAATGACTTGAGGAAGGGACCACAAGCCAGGGAATGCAGGCAGCTTCTAGAAGGGCATAGAAACATTTTACCCAGAAGCTTCCAGATGTAATGCAGGCGTTAGACGTATTTAAGTTTCATTTACGCTTCACGACCACACTGCGAAGTAGACAGTATTACCCTCACTTTACGGATAAGGAAACCGAGGCACTGAATTGTAAGGTAACCTGCCCAGCATACAGCTGAATATAAATTATAGGTTGCTATCAAAGCTTTTTTTTGCTCTCGCTCCCTCACACGGGCTAAGGTGAGACGGTACCTCGCTTGCGGCAGCCCAGGACAAACCCAGGGGCCCCGGGTCATTTGCCCCCCGGACGTCCCAGTGCGCAGGCGCGAGGCGGACGGAGCGTGGGGGGGGGAGGGCGGAAGCAGGGATTGGTGGAAGAGAAGGGATTGATGGAAAACACTGGAAGCTTTGTAGCGGAAGTCCCGCCCAGCTTAGGCCGAGCTTCCGGTTCTTACTGTTAGGGGCTGAAGCTGAGGGAGTCGAGGCAGCGTCGTCGCGATGGTGTTGTTGGAGAGCGAGCAGGTATGGGCCAGGCCTGGCCGGCCGACGGACGGGGGCGGCTCAGGCGTTGCTTGAGGCCTCTGCCTCCTTCTGCGGGAGGACCAGGGCCTTGACGCGGCGGGGCGAGGACTTGGGGCTGGCTAACGGGGCTGGGCCTGTTGTTTTCCAGTTCCTGACGGAGCTGACCAGACTCTTCCAGAAGTGCCGGACGTCGGGCAGCGTCTATATCACCTTGAAGAAGTGTAAGCAGCGGGAGGGGAGCCGGGCAGTGCTCCCCGGGTTCCCGGGGTCTGCCTGCCGCGGACCCCCGCCCTCCCCTACCTCCGCCACCCTGGCCTGGGCACCCTCGGGGCCTCGGGCCTGGAGCACAGTCGGGATTGTGGCTGGCGCGGCCCCCGGCTCGGAGCCGCCTGGGCCGCTCCCGGTAGCGGTGGGCCCCGAGCAGGCCAGGGCTCTTTGGCCGCTCCGCGCGGAGTGTCTCACGCTCCGGTGTGACGTGTCTCCGTCGTGGAAGTAACCGTTTTCTCCCGGGTGTCGCCAGGCCGTGGTAGCAGACGAGGTGTTCCGCGGAACTAGAGCGGCGGGGCCGGGTTGGGTCATCGCGTCCCTCCCGCCGCCTCCGTTTTCACTGTTTGTCGGCCGCTCAGCCTCGAACGCGGCCCTGTTCACCGAGATGCCTTTTTCCCGCAGATGATGGTCGAACCAAACCCATTCCAAAGAAGGGTACTGTGGAGGGCTTCGAGCCCGCAGACAACAAGTGTCTGTTAAGAGCTACCGATGGGAAAAAGAAGATCAGCACTGTGGTGAGTGAAGACTTGAACTTAGAGGATGGGGCGTTTCTGAACCAGGCTTTTAATTATTTCTCCCTTTTGCCCTGTGTAGGTCTTTGGCTGTTTTTGAGACCAGGACGTTCCTATACTTTAGTAGTAGAAACTTCAACAATAAAATAAAATGAAGAAAGTAGAGATCAAAAAGTCCTTAGTTATGTTAACATTTTTGTGGAAATGAAAGTAGCATATTGGTCCTTACTTGTAGTACTGTAAGGAGCAGTTGGCATAAATACTTGATTCCTTAGCCCCTTACTGTGCTGGGCCTTTAAGTTTCTTGGTACCAGGTATGCTATTATTTTCTTATTGTGGTTCACGTAGCGAATACGTAGCTAAATGTTGGGTTTGACGCTTGAGAAAATATACGTTAGTCAAGTCCTAGTCTTTCCTTTCAGTGGAGTTTGAATAAGGCAAAGCAAGTGACTCTGAATTGTGTGAATACTGCTTTATTCTGCTGTGGCAGAACCAAACTTGCTCTCTAATCACATTAGTTTAGGATACTTATTACATGAAAATGTCGACTATACTTAGTTGACAGATCTCCTGTGACAAGTTATCTTGAGAGGATTTTTACAGTAAAACAAGTTATGTGGTTTTTACAAATAAAGTTCGCTATCACGAAATACAAAAACCTAAGGAGTCGTCTTCAGAAGTAGAATTTATTTTGTGGTAACTTGCACTGTGCTTAAATATGCTTGAATTAATGGAAAGTAGGTTTAAAAATAAGATGGGAAGGGAGTAGTGTTAATGTGCAAAAAATTAATACTAAGTAGTCCTCTGACATTTCTCAGAACGCAGGTAGAAAACTCAGTGCCACCTCTCTAAGGAATTTCAAGGGGTGAGAAACAAAGCTTTTTTAGGAGCCTGCTGTCCGTCACATCTTGGTGCATTTCTCATGTGGAAAAAGATGCAGAGGTCCTTTGCTTGGTCTCTAGCTAGAGGAAAGTAGAGTAGAAAAATAATCATTTGTGTATTATGAGCCCTGAAGTTGGGAAGAAGTGTTTTAAAGGACGGATGTTGTCTTTGGGACGCTTTTGAGATACTATCTGGGATGGAGAAGAGAATGCTTATATGGATAACAGGTGTGCCCTCTTTTTTCCTTCCTTTTCAGGTGAGCTCCAAGGAAGTGAATAAGTTTCAGATGGTGAGTTTTGAGTGTTGCTTATGTCTCCCTTTTCAGGGCAAGAGCCAGCATGATAGTGAACACTGGGGAAAATTGATACTTAGGTTCACTCTTCTTTGGAGATAAGTTTTACCAGTGTGTTTCAAGTAAAAAAGCTGTTAGGGTGTGAATTTCAATGCTAATACCATCTTCCTTTCTCGTTTTTTTTGTTTTTGTTTTTTTTTAAAGCTAGATTTTGTCTTAGGCTATAGATACACAATACCTAGGGTGTGATAGATACACACTACCTAGGGTGTGAGTTTCAATGCTAATACCATCTTCCTTTCTCGTTTTTTGTTTTTTTTTTAAGCTAGATTTTGTCTTAGGCTATAGATATACACTACCTATAGTATAGTTGAACAAGAAGTTGCCTGCAACTTTACCTTGAAAAAAGTAAAAAATATGTGCAACTCTCTGTGGGTGTTGCAGAAGCTGCTATAATGTGGAAGAGTACTTTATGCTTCTACCATTTTTCAGTACAAGTTTCCCATAGTGCTATATTCTTTACCAGGTAGGCTTCCTGATTTTTGGCTACCCTAAATCCGTTATGCAAATAGGGCAGCTATTCTACCAATTTGCACATCTTTTCACTAAGATACGCTCTGTGTCTTTCAGGCTTATTCAAACCTACTGAGAGCTAACATGGATGGGCTGAAGAAGAGGGACAAAAAGAACAAAACTAAGAAGACCAAAGCAGCAGCAGCAGCTCCAGCAGCACCAGCACCAGCGCCAGCACCAGCAGCGCCAGCACCAGCAGCGCCAGCAGTACCACCACCAGCAGCAGCACCACCGCCAGCAGCAGCAGGAGCAGCAGCAGCAGCAGCAGCAGCAGCAACAGCAACAGCAGCAGCAGCAGCAGCACAGTAAAGGACACAAATTTCTTGCTTTCACCAATTAACCACTGAGTTGCTATTTTTTCCTTTGGTTTTTACTTTGGCCTACGTAGCTAGGCTTCTGGTTCCCCCACAGTAGGTGTTTTAACATAAGATGAGGGTCCTTTTGGAAAGAATAGTTGCAATGTTTATAGGGTAGTTGTATTAAGAACCTAGTTTATTTTACATTTGGTTAATTGGTCTGTGCTGCATGGTTGTATACTCCTGGATTATAGATTAAAAGTCTCTGTAGTCATCTCTGAAGAGCAAGCTATCATTAAACATGTCTGTTTATCAGCACTGTCTTTCTATTCCTTTTCCCACCCCACTTTAATAGTGCTGGCAATAACTATTTTTAGAATGATGTGATTAATGAATAGGCTTTAGTTCTATAACACCTTCTAGAGTATTGGAATTGAAACCTGTAAAAAGTGATGTTGCTTCCTACCTGGTTGTATAATTTTATCATCATAGTTCCTTTACCAAGTTTGAATGAGTATTCAGTCAAATGAGTTTGTTTAACTACCTTAGGAGAAACATACTACAAACTCATCAGGAATATAGGTTCCAAATAGTGATTTTTGGTTTCTTTATGCCCTTTTAGTTTGGATATTTTCCTGCGCTTAGTTGTAACAGCCAAGGGAAGAGAAGGCTATTATCTTATGTTCCAGCTTTACGTTTTTCTTTAGTGTTAACAGATTTACAATTAAAAAGCAGCAGGTATATGAAAGCATTTATTATATCCCAAAAGATAAATTTATAATATATTACACATGAAAAACTAACAAAGCTCAACTTTGTAGGACAGCTTCTTAGAATTTTTTTTTTTTGGAGACGGACTTCCGCTCTTGTTACCCAGGCTGGAGTGCAATGGCGCGATCTCGGCTCACCGCAACCTCCGCCTCCTGGGTTCAGGCAATTCTCCTGCCTCAGCCTCCTGAGTAGCTGGGATTACAGGCATGCGCCACCACGCCCAGCTAATTTTTTGTATTTTTAGTAGAGACGGGGTTTCACCATGTTGACCAGGATGGTCTCGATCTCTTCACCTCGTGATCCACCTGCCTCGGCCTCCCAAAGTGCTGGGATTACAGGCGTGAGCCACCGCACCTGGCCTTTTTTCTTTTTTGAGACAGAGTCTTGCTCTGTTGTCCAGGCTGGAGTGCAGTGGCGCAGTCACAGCCCATTGCAGCCTCAGCCTCCTGAGGCTCAAGTTGTCCACTTCAGCCTTTGGAGTAGCTAGGACTACAGATGTATGCCACCTTGCCCAACTAATTTTTTAAGTTTTTGTAGAGATGGGGGTCTTGCTTTTTTGCTCAGGCTGGTCTACAACTCCTGGTTTCAAGCCATCTTCCTGCCTTGGCTTCCGAAAGTGCTGGGATTACAAGGGTAAACCACTGTGCCCAGCATCTTCTTAGAATTTAATTTTGAATGACGATGAATGTACAACATTCCATTACTCCAGTATAAGCCTCTGTCTTAATGAGGTCAGTCACAGTTCTTTAGAGTTAAAATAAGATTCTGTAGTAGTCATCTCTGTAGCTATACAGAAATAGCACAGACACCCTGCAAACGAAAGGAAAAGATTATAAGGACAGACTCAGTTTAATGAGTGAAGAACAGAGCTAATAAATTTTTAGAACACTTAACTGTAGGAGCTTTATTTAAGCCAAAACAAGGTAGAAGGCTAGTTATTAAATTATATAGGTTTTAAACAAGGTATGACTGACTGACGGGTCCTAATAAGGAGATAACTATTCACCTAATAGACTTCCTTGTTGCTTTTTAAGTGGATAACATGAATGATGGGCATTTTGACATAAGGGTACAGAGCAGAGTAGTCATGGTTATTTTCTTTAATTTTAACATACTTCTAGAAAGTGAATTACCTGGGTGAACAAAACTGTAATTGAGACAGCTATTCTTAGGACTCCTGTGTTTTCTTACTGACAAGATCATGACTGTGATTCACAGTCCAAGCAAGACTTAACTGGTTGTCAGCTGCAATTCTAGCAACAGCTTAGGTGTTAAGCCTCAACAAGACAACAAAATAATGTCACTCTGAAACCACCTCCCTGAATTTTAAGCATGTGAAACCTGCTATGCCCAAGTGATAACTTACTTTTTTTCTACTTTGATGTTATAAATTTCATCACAGACTAATTTGAGGTATCTTTGCTTTGGAAGACGTGACAGCAGCTGCTTCACAGTTGTGTTAAATGCCTGTTCATCAGCATCCCACTAGGAAAAAAATAAGTAAGACTTAACAACAGGGCACTAGGGTTTACCAGCTGGCTTTTTTTGGGTCACTAATGAAATTTCAGTGCCATTCCCCTCTTCAAGTATATCAGGAGATAGTAGAAACAGGAGACTGCTGGGGTTCTTCCTTTAAAGCGCCAATTTTCTTTAAAACAAGACTCCCTAATTTGAGCCTGATTAACAATGCTGCAGCCCTAGTGTGCTGATGTCACTTTATACCAGTTATTTCTGCCTACCATTTACCCTTTTTTTTTTTTTTTTTTGAGACAGAGTTTCGCTCTTGCTGCCCAGGCTGGAGCGCAATGGCATGATCTCGGCTTACATCAACCTCTGCCCCTGGGTTCAAGAGATTCTCCTGCCTCAGCCTCGCAAGTAGCTGGGATTACAGGCGTCCACCACCACACCCGGCTAATTTTTTTATATTTTTGGTAGAGATGGGGTTTCACCATGTTTGCCAGGCTGGTCTCAAACTCTAGACCTCAGGCGACCCACCTGCCTCAGCCTCCCAAAGTGCTGGGATTACAGGCATGAGCCATTGTGCGTGGCCTCTGTTTACTTTTTGTATGATGGTGATAGCAGCCTAGAGTATATCCATTTGATTGGATCATAAATCAGTACATTGCCAGGATAGTGGTATATGCTTATTTGTAAGAGAGCAACAAATGATATATAAAATAGCCAAGTTCACTATTAATCTAATTTAATCTGTGACTAAACACTCTGGATAAACAAAAAAGTATACTTTGATAGGACGTTGCAAAAGTCATCTATAGCTATGAGTATAGTTAAGTATTCTTAATAGCAAAGATAAGTATTCCAGTTTTTAAAATTCTTATTTAGGCTATTTGATGATAAAGAGATGTACTTGTAAAAATTCGGTCCTTTATAAACATTTTTACAAAAGGATTTTTAAAAATACAGTTCTAACCTGCAAATGAGCTTCTCTAGCTGGAATCAAGGTTTGTTTGATACAGTATAGTATAGTGGTTAAGAACACAGATTCTGTTAGTCTGCTTAGGCTCAAATACTGGTTCTACTACTTATTAGCTGGGTGACTGTGGGTAAGATACTTAACCTCTCTACTTCCATACTCTGACTTATCTGTAAAGTGGGGATAACAGTATCTACATACTGGAATGGTCATGTTTAACTGAGTTACTACCTGTAAAATGCTTACCCTACATGCCAGACCCTGACATGTAGTAAAAGCAGTATGTATGGTTTTTAAAAATTTTTTTTAAATATATATTTTATTGCATTTTAGGTTTTGGGGTACATGTAAAGAACATGCAAGATTGTTGCATAGGTACATACATGGCAGTGTGGTTTGCTGCCTTCCTCCCTATCACCTATAATAGCATTTCTCCCCACGTTATCCCTCCCCAACTCCCCACCCCCCGCTTTCCCTCCCCTGGGTCCCCCAACAGACCCCAGTGTGTGATGCTACTACCTTCCCTGTGTTCATGTGTTCTCACTGTTAAACACCTGCCTATGAGTGAGAACATGCGCTGTTTGATTTTCTGTTCTTGTGTCAGTTTGCTGAGAATGATGGTTTCCAGGTTTATCCATGTCCCTACAAAGGACACGAACTCATCATTTTTTTATGGCTGCATGGTATTCCATGGTGTATATGTGCCATATTTTCCCTGTCCAGTCTATCATCGATGGGTATTTGGGTTGGTTCCAAGTCTTTGCTATTGTAAACAGTGCTGCAGTGAATGTACGTGTGCATGTGTCCTTATAATAGAACAACTTATAATCCTTTGGATATATACCCAGTAATGGGATTGCTGGGTCAAATGGAATTTCCATTTCTAGGTCCTTGAGCAATGGCCATACTGTCTTCCACAATGGTTGAACTAATTTACACTCCCACCAACAGTGTAAAAGTGTTCCTATTTCTCTACATCCTCTCCAGCATCTGTTACCTCCAGATTTTTTAATGATCGCCATTCTAACTGTCATGAGATGGTATCTCAATGTAGTTTTGATTTGCATTTCTCTAATGACCAGTGATGAGCATTTTTTCCTATGTTTGTTGCCTCATACATGTCTTTTGTAAAGTGTCTGTTCATATCCTTCGCCTACTTTTGAATGAGCTTTTTTTCTTGTAAATCTGTTTTAGTTCTTTGTAGATTCTGGATATTTTGTCAGATGGGCAGACAGCAAAATTTTTTTCCAATTCTGTTGGTTGCCGCTTCACGCTAATGACTGTTTCTTCCGGTGTGCAGAAGCTCTGGAGTTTGATTAGGTCCTATTTGTCTATTTTGGCTTTTGTTGCCAATGCTTTTGGTGTTTTAGTCATGAAGTCCTTCCCTATGCCTATGTCCTGAATGCTTTTGCCTAGATTTTCTTCTAGGGTTTTTATGGCGTTAGGTCTTATGTTTAAGTCTTTAATCCATGTGGAGTTAATTTTAGTGTAAGGTGTCAGGAAGGAATCCAGTTTCTGCTTTCTGCACATGGCTCGCTAGTTTTCCCAACACCATTTATTAAACAGGGAATCCTTTCCCCATTGCTTGTTTTTGTCAGGTTTGTCAAAGATCGGATGGTTGTAGATATGTTGTGTTGCCTCCAAGGCCTCTGTTCTGTTCCATTGGTCTGTATCTGTTTTGGTACCAGTACCATGCTATTTTGATTACTGTAGCCTTGTAGTATAGTTTGAAGTTAGGTAGTGTGAGGCCTCCAACTTTGTTCTTTTTGCTTAGAATTGACTTGGCTATGCGGGCTCTCTTTTGGTTCCATGTGAAGTTTAGGTGGTTTTTTCCAGTTCTGTGAAGATCATTGGTAGTGTGACATGGTAATTGCCCCATAAGCTGCATACCTCAACCATACCTCGGCTTTCCATTGAAACTGCTCTCTGTAACCCTAATGTGACAGGCAAGGAGTCCAAATCCACGCCATCCTGGCCCCTGTGACTTGTAGTAAGTAACTAAGGTCTGTAATTTCCATCCTACCCAGACAATGTGTAAACTAACACTTATCTTGACTTCTGTGAACCACTTAAGTAACAATCCAAATGTTCAAAGTTCCCTGGCCCTCACCCCTGCCTAGGAGGTGGTTCACAGGCATAAATGGTCTTGACATCCTACTTTTGGGGCTGTGGGTTAGAGAGACTTGAGTCCTCCGTGGCCGCCGGCAATAGACTCTGTAATTTGGCCTAGTCTTTGTCTCAGTGGTGATTTCACACTCGCTTGGTTGTAGCTTCATGGGGATAGTGTTGAATCTGTAAATTAGTTTGGGCAGTGTGGCCATTTTCATGATACTGCTTCTTCCTAACCATTAGCATGGAATGTTTCTCCATCTGTTTGTGTCCTCTCTTATTTCCTTGAGCAGCTGTTTGTAGTTCTCGTTGAAGAGGTCCTTCACATCCTTTGTTAGTTGTATTCCTAGGTATTTTATTATCTTTGTAGCAATTGTGAATGGCAGTTCATTCTTGATT